TATTCCCTAACTGAAAAACAAGACAAAACACTGTCTGAATTGAAAGTATTTGAACAACCGACTGTGGTTTAAATTTAAATCTGACTCATAATAGGGTAATATGTTCCACAGCATCTTCCTCCTCATACCTCCAAGCGGGGAGAGAGGCCCTTAAAGAAACGGGGGTTACCACTGTCTGGAGAGCAGACGGTTCTTCCTAGACACTGAGCAAGCTCCACAAGAGCCCTCAGCACGGACCGGGCCCTCCTCGACATGGAAAGACCAAAGGTCTGCTCCTGCTTGTTTCAAATTCTTCATCGCAATCCAGTGTCCCTCCCGGGCTTTAACCTGGTGCCGTTCATTTGCTCCAGCCCTGCGCTCTGATACGCCCCATGGTACATCCCCCCCATCTGCAGTCTCTCAGGTACCCCCACCCACAGCAGCCTTGGATAACGACGACAATAAAAACCAGTGCTTCAGCTGCATTTTTCATGATGCTTTATGATGTGTTAACAAAACATGGCACTGCTTCCATAGGAAGTAATTATTACTTGTTATTGTTTGACCGTCTGTACATAATAAAAATACCTTAAAAACAATACCACATCACACTCTGAACGATGACTTTTCGCCCTGCAAGGGTTTCCACTCGTCTAGCTTTGTGGTGGTGCCTATTTATCTTTTGGAATGCTTATTCATAAAAGACAAGCTTTTTATTGAAGGGTGCAGGGACTTTATTCATAAATACAGAAGCACCTTAATAAAAGAAAGATGTGATGAAGTCTTCAAAGCAGGCAAGAAAACTGATGAACAAAGACATTCCCATAACAACTAAGCTTTATCTGATCAAATTCCAATAAAGCCTGCATTTGGCATAAATCTTTAAAAACATAGCAAGGGCCACTGGAGGATGCTAAAACTTGTTTATTTAATATTATTCCTCCTCCCTCCCTCAAAAATACTTTATCTTCTTAATATTTTCTGCCGTCTCAGTGCACGTTAAGAAGCGCATCGAGCGAATGCGGCACAGTGGAAGGATGGGAGGAGAAGCGCGGGAGAGCGCTCGCAGCTTCCTTCCTTCCTTCCTTCCTTCCTTCCCTCCGGCTTCCCACTCTCCAACGTACTGATAATCAGCAGCATCACCAGCAGATTAACCCTCACTTTTGGGCAGAAGAAACAACAGAAAAGCTAGTGCCTTTAAAGAATTTAATTCTCTGTGGCTTCACTTATCAGAGCCAAGAAGAGACAGAAGCTTTTATACCAGCCTTATAAAAGAAACTTAATTCCTACTTCTGAGAGTTTTATTATTTTCCATCCTAAAACTACTTAATATGTGCACTGCGCTTCCCGTCTGTGCAGGAACACACAGATGTGGCTGACTAATCCTAAAATACCAAGAGAAGTATTCTGGGTGAAAACAGACATTAAAGAAACTGTTTCTGCTCTTGGGGATTACCACTCACTCACCGGCTTCGTGGATGCATCCAGGGCACCTCCATGAGAATTAATCTCCACGACCTACTGCCTGGAGAAACCAGGGGGGGCAGCAGACCTGGCAAACAGATCCACAACCACTCGCTCCCAGCATAAATACAACAGGGTGCTCTCTGCTCCAACCCTGCCTTGGAGATGGGAACAGGGTCCTGCTGCTGCTGCACTGGGGGCCGGGAGTGAGGGGCCACAGCCCTGGCTCGCCACGCCAAGCAGCCCCAGACTGCCTTCCCGGAGTCAGCGCAAACAAGGGCTGCAGGAAAACACAAAGTCCTTTTCTGATGTGGTTTGGAAAAGGGAGCCAAGTATAGCCTGAGGAAAGCTTAGCCGAAAAGGTGCAGTCTTGCATTTCTTTTTTCATTTTAAGGGGTAGATCTGTAAGGTCAGAGGACCACACAAAGAAAGAATCAGGAGGAGAAACAAAATATTTATATTCTGCTTGTTTATTTTTTCCATTTACCCTGCACATCTGTCTCTAGCTGTTCTTAAAATAGTCCTTCAGAGTAATATTGTCTCTTCTGCACCAGTGGTATATATACTACTACTGAACTGCCACTGGACTAAATCAGAGAGCTCTTGGAGAGCAGTTAGGAGACTTGCATGTGTTCAGGGACAGCCGCTTTGCCAGTGAACCACAACAAGAGAGCTCTGACTCTCTCCAGAAGACTTCTGCCCCTCTCTTCCTGCTTGACTGAGAAAGATGAGGGGACACGGGAACAACCATTCCCTGAAACTGCAGGTATGAGAGGAATTTAAAAAACCCTCACCAAGAAGACCTCCTCAACAAAGCAAAACACCAGGCAACTCGAAACTTGGTAGAATGAAAAAAAAAAAAAAAAAACCACCTAATAATTAAATGTTGCTTATGCAAGATGAAAAACCACATTGTTCCTTCAGGGCACAACAGCCCTGGCAAGCCCAGCACATATCGCACAAGACAGGAAGCAGTGCTTATGCACAGAGGAGGAGTGGTGGCTGCACATGCCAACTCCACCAGCAATCTCCTCTGTGAGGTTTGCTCTCCATGCATGGCTTTTCACGCTGGAAGCAAAGATACCTGAGTAAGTCTTCAGCTCTTGCAGAACGTACTTCCTTCTCCACTTCCACTGAAATGAGCATCTTCCTCATTCTCCCCTTTTACCTTCCACGCTTGTACCTTCCTCCACTGCTAGACACCCCTATCTCTATTATCAATCTATCATTACGCAGCCCGGAAGCTCCTCTAGCATCACTGTGGCACCCAATGTCTCCTACCCATCCTGCCTCACCTTCAGCTCCTTGGATTTTCTTCTTTCTGATCTCTAAAATTCATACACTAAGTTTTAGGATGCTTTCTATAGCACTGTCCTACAATACATCATAGAACCATAGAATACCTAGTTGGAAGGGACCCGTAAGGATCACGGGTCTCTCATCCTCAATTTCTCTCTGCATTTGCTTTTCCTGTTAAACACTGCATGCCAACCTCATGAGTTGTGATGGAGATTAGATGCAGCAGTATTTAGGGACTCTGCATACAAGATTGAAAGAAATAATTATGACCAAGGGGGGAAAAAACAACCAGCAGAAGACTACAAGAGCTTGTAAGAAGTAAAGCAGAGAGAGGAACTAACAGGCAGCTTTTATCATTTTAATAGGTGCTCTGCAAGGGAAATGCTCTGGAGACAGCTTGCCTCTCTACAGGCAAAGGAACAAAGTAACATGCTTAAAACATGCCTGGCACACACACTCAGAGCTCACTGCCTTTGGCCTGCCTGTTACTTGGTGGAGAGAAGACCTAATCCTACAATAACCTGCACTCATTACTCACCTAACACTTCACTAAGTATGCCCCACCCAGCCTAAAAAAGAAAGTGCCTTACTCACCAGCTATATATTTATCTAAAGGATGCAAGTACCTGCCCTGGATGCAGGTGTCAGTCATTTCCATGAGCACAGGCTTGTCAGGCTCTCTCAAATAAGCTCCAGCTGCTTCTCATCACAAGGTGAAATCCCAGCCAAGCAAAGGCCCTTTCTTCCCTACCTCTGCTGAACACTTTGTGTCCCACATTCCTCAACCTTCGAAAAGCAACGAACCAAGCTCAGGCAACCACAGCTGTACTCATTTCAGGTGGCTGACTAACAGCTCTCAGAAGTAGAACAACAGAAAGCCCAGAGATGCCATCAATTCCTTTTAGGATGTCTGAACAGTGAGGTCAAGCCAGAACACACAATCATTTCAACAGGCTGGTGTGGCAGCGTCACAGGGACTCATAGTGTAATTCTCTGTGATGGCTATTATATATAGATGACACCAGTGACTCTCATTAAAGATTCCCAGCTTTCTCTTTTAACAAATGACACATTATTTACTCTGCTTTTCTGCCAGCCTGTCCTTGGGAAGGAAGGAAGGCAGCCAGGTCGCAGTTGTGAAGCCAAGCGCCCAGTGACCACCTGTGGACCTGAACCACATTCAACTGGGAACCAAGCTTCTCTTACATTTAAACAATGTCTGAACAGTCCAGTGCGCCTTTTCCTCCTGTCAGCCTTTAAGGCTGGCTTATACTGTCACTTCTGCAAGCATGTGAACCCAAATTCCCTCCTCTCTGCTCCAAGTTTGGCTTGCACTTGACCAGACGAGGCAGGAAAAGGTGAACGTTGAAAGTGAGGGAGAAGACTAACTCAAATTTGCACCCACTGGATCCGAACCAGACTCTACAGTGCTGCAAACCCAGGGCAGTGCTGAGGCATAGCCAATGAGAGCAGCAAGAACAGAGCCAGAGAGGAACTCACTACACTTTTACAAAGTGGTATCCTATCTGGCAGGGTTTTCAGCAGAACAAGTCCCGGGTTGCTGGAACAACCATGAGTTTTACTCAGTATAAAACTGCTGGGAGCTGAGCCCCTTTTGGTTGTTGTGTTTCTCAGCAAAGTGAACTATGCTTTAGTTCTAGAGAATATTTGCACAAACGCACAGACTTAGTAAGCGACTTTAATGGCTTTGAAGTCTTTCAAGATTAAATGGCATCAGTCTTACCAACACTCAGGAGTGAGAAAGTCATGGGGTCATTTTCTTCCTCACTCCTCAATCCCTGAATTGTCCACCCCCTTACCTCAACCCCTGGGCTACTATACAGAAGCCAGGTCTGAAACTCCTCAGCTTTGAAACTCAATTATTAACACCACCATTTCTGTGAGGAACAGTTAACAGGCTTCTCCTGAACACAGGCCAAAGAGAGGAATCTGACTTCAGGCCAGGTGCTGGGAGACAGAGATCCTGGGGAAGACTTGTTTGGTGTCTTGTTCTGTCACTTACTATATGCTGAAACTTTGGAGTCCTGAGGTACAATTGCTAGAAAAAGTTTGCACATTCCAGCTTCATATGATTTTGAATAAAGTCCTTTCTAGGAAAGGCACAGGAAATAAGAGGCCACTTTGGAAAGACAGGACTCAACCGCTTCTCCCCGTGGTTTGCTCTGCCTGCTAGATGGGTACAAGGAGGGTTTGCTGCAGAAAGACAGGGAACTGACACATGCGAGGTTCCACTGTACCTGATACAGCTCTATCCGCTGCTCCGAGACCCGCGCCTTTGAGTTCTGCAGGCGGAAGACCCTGAACTCAGCTTTCACCAAGTTGGAAGCATTCTTCTCCATCGCTGAGACATCAAATCTGATGATTCGGAAGTAAAGGCTGTAATAGCTCGGTGGGATGGCATCTGCAAGAAGGCAGTGTGATTTTATTATTTTTTTTAAAAACAGTGTAATTCAAGACAGCCTCAGTAAGGGAAATATCTGTACCATGATTCAGTTTCCAATGACCAATTTAATATTATTAACAATTTAATAAAAAAAAAACCAAACAACCCCACGTGTTTGATTATAGGAATACCATATTAATGGTATTAACAACAGATTAACAACTATTTCCAACTCTATTTCAGGTCATGCATTTAAACCTCCCCTCTTTCAACATACTGGTGGAAAATCCCGGATGCTTGTAAATTAGGAAAAAATCATAGCAGTTGGTATCTGGCAAATGCCTTCACACTTCCACAGAGTTCACAGGGATCCGCTAAGATTACAAGTAACAGCAACTCATCTGATCTGTATGTTCTCTGAAGCCCATTTCCCCTCAGAATATGGAGCATAAATTAGCCAGCTTCAGATTTTGTTTCATATTTAGTTATTAAAGGGTTTTATTGGAAGAAAATATTAATTCTGATTATAGTGACAAGGACAGGAATAGAAGAGGAAGAAGAGAGGGAAAAGGCAAGCAGATAGTAGACATTATAAACAGAATTACATGAATTTTGACCACTTGGAAGCAGTAAAAGCCATAAATGTAATGACCTCTCACTATATATCGGGGAAAGCAGAAAAAACAGTTAGAAAAATGGACTCAAGTCTTCAATAATAGTGCTAAACATATCCATTTAGGTTTCAAAACAGTCTCTTCCCCCTTCCCAGCTGTAAGCCTTCACTGAGGGTACGCAGCAAAGCACTTCAGCACAACCCGGGTTACCCTGAAGGGTTCAGCAATCACCCAAGGCCTTTCCACCCCAGGCGACACCCCCTGCGCTCTGCTGCCCGGCAAGGCCTGGCAAGGCTCTCCTCAGACTGCGGGGCCAAGCTCGGAGAGGAGTCGAAATGACTCAAAGGCCCTGATAAAAATCTCCATTCAAAGTGAGAAAAAGGTTTCCTCCTCTTTTACAGTGTGAAAACTGAAGTGGAAAAAGAAAAAAAAGAAACAGGAAAACTGTATTTGGGGGGTGTGGGGGGGTGATTTTCAGCTGAGGAAGCAAAGCTCACAGGCCTCCCTGGGGCCATGCCAGCAGGAAGACTTCAGATAATAATTACAAAAGAAGTTTTCGCACTAGTCACCTAGCTCAGGAGCTGTCATGCAGTGGCAGGAGATGACAGCCTTGACATTAGGCAGGTGAGCAGTTCAGCGCCCATGAAAGACCCAGGCCTTGTCTGAAATCCCAGCGAGGCCTCCTGCTCCGCTGCCTCCCTCGGCTATCCAGGCCATTAATCCAGGCATCTATCAATCAAATAAAGTACCTTCTTCTGGAAGTACCTAATTCTTAATAGATACAACACACAAGTTGTCATTTCTATCTAAAGAGATGGGAGAAACCAAGTCCAGTACATTTACTTTTATTTCTAACTACTAACGATTAAAGGTAGTTGGAATAAATCCTTGATAGTATTTATTCATATCAATAAGACATATTAATAACTTAAAAGACCTTCAAATATTTAGTGTTTCTAGACCGGCTGCTATTACCAGAACTTCTGAGCACCACAGCAGCTCCTGGCTACGCAGGGCAACACCACTTGCAGTTACACATTTAACAACCCATTTGTTGTAGCTTTTTGAATAATTCTAAGTTCAAACTGACTACAGAATAAATACCAAGTACAAGACAGTCACATGAGGAATAAAACAAATTTATTCCGTCTTCACAATATTCACAAACATGCTTCCTCTACATAATTGAGCCAAAATCTCTTTTTCAAATGATCAGAGGTAAAAACTCCTAAAAATAATCCTAGCTATGAGAAAATCTTTGACGACAAAGAAGTACTCTCTGCCTCAACTGCATTATAAGTGAGAGATGACAAGTTCTCAAAATACTTAAAAAAAATCCTCTGAAAGAGTACCTCCCAAAGCAGACCCTCAGTATGGTCAAATGGGTAAGAAGTATAAATATGAACAGGAAGCCCCAGGCTTCCTTATGCTCCCATTTAATTAAAGAAACAAAAAAAACGTTCTCAAATTTTTACATCTGCAGTGCTTGAAAATAAACCCCGAAGCATCATGATCAGTATTCTTGCCTACCAGGCTTATTGACAGAAAACTGCTACAATCTTACAGTGAGAACTCAAAGAAAAATGGAGGCAAATTACCCCTGCACCAGAACTGCTCCTCTCTCCCACAAGCAACACATTAGTGCTGGTCTCTCTAAATACCAAATGAAAGTCTTTTGAGAAAAGCTTAACTTTATGCAATGATGATCTTAATTTTGATAGATTTTGCAAATTCTTATAAAAGCTACTCAGTTCAGAGATTATATCCTCATTTACGAGAGAAATAATCTCTTCAATTTATTTTTCTGCTATACTCCGAGACTACTACTTGTTCTTCAGCCAAACCTAATCCTACTAGGAATATAATTTGGTATAATAATATGTATATATAAGACTGATGCTTCCAGTATGAGTTGTAAGTTGTCCTTCCCTGTCATTTATTTGAGGCATCAACCTACCATTTCATTCCCTGTGGACAAGCCAAACTAGCAGCCAGCCACTTGCCCTGGCACAGACAAACCCCGTCCATCTTGACTTTATTTCAGATTGAAAAGTCTTATTTAACTGTCAGTTTGATTTATACTTAGCTTCTAACTTATTTCTAGAACTTTCTTGTGCTATATTTATAGTCTTTCTTTTCAGTTTCTATATTTTAGATATTGTATATTACAAATCTGTGAATATGTATCTGAATGGATTTTCCCGGACCATCTCTGCATTTACGTTTTTTCCTCTTTCGTATATAAAGAAGTTAGACAGAGAAGCAATACTCTTTCAGCGTGCATGTTTTTGGGTTTGCATATGTGCATTCATATACACAGCAAACGAGTATTTACCTTCCACTGGAAAGCAGGTGTGGTACACCCACCATGAATAAGAATGAATTCTTGTCTTACAGAAGTTTCATCTCTCTTATAAGATAGTTTTATATCTTGCAAAAACCCACATAAGAAATTTGATTTCTTTATCATTCACAACAGTATCCATGGGAAGTCAATTCAGGAAAAGGCATTATTCATGGACAGCTGAAAAAAATATATTTTTTACTAGCTGGAACCCTTCCTCTGAAAAAGAATGGCTGACTGCAGAATTGGGGTTTACATGAAAATTAATCAACATTAAGACTAAGAATTGAGACTTGCAACTCTCTTTAAGGGAATGGAAAGAACGCTATGGAGTCTACAAGGTTTTGGATTAGCCTTTAAGTGACCTCAGATGCTGCAATTTATCTCTCTTTGTGACTCCACCTTAACCTGACAGTTGTATCAGTTCAGACTCAGTTGGATACCTCTAGATTCCCCTCTGGTTTTGGGCCAATGACTTCAGTAGACGCCAGGATGACTCTGACCAAGTTAGTCTGCACATAGAGTTACCCTGCTGCAGACTAGACTCTGTAGGTGTTGTTTGAACCATTATCATTAATGAGCGGAATTAAATCAATATGTTTCCTGTAGCTAGGAAAACAGATTTCTTTTGTTTTGGAGAGAGGGAATAGTAAATGCAATGAAAGATTCCATTTTTATCATTTTCAAATTATTCATTAATTCAACCCTCAAAAAACTGAAGACTTCCAGCTGTAATAATGATAATCACAATCACCACAGTACAGCTGAGAAAGAGTTATAAAATGCAGTTGGAGAAGGTGAAGGCAGCATCCCTCCTCCTCCCTTTAGCCCGCTGAACATTGAGCATCAAAAGTTTAGCTTTTTTATTCTTTTGTTGGTTTTTTGTTTTGGTTTTCTTTTTTTTCCTTGAAGGCGCTGAAACTTCATCAGCTGCTTCACACAGGACAGTGCAAACTGCCAGGTTAAAAAGTATTCTGGTATGTCAGTGTTTAAGTGCATAAGGACACTGTGGTTTCTGTGCTTCTTACTGACTTTGTTCAAAGTCCAGCATCCTCTAAGCTCCTGTGCCAGCAACTAGGACAGAAAGCAGCCCTGCTCTGACAGAGCAGAAAAGCACCGATGGGAGGGGTGTAGGAGACCTATCCCAAAATACTCAAGAGTCTGCAGTACTGCTCCCAGTTGGAGCATCGTCAACAGGGGAGACTGAACACATCCTCTTACTGACTCTCCAGAACAGCATGTAGAACCCCAGGCATCGCTCCTGGGAGGAGAGCGAGATGGAGTCAAGCTCCCTTAAACTGGAAGTGGGAATGGAAGGAGTTTGTTTCATGCTGGAGATATTCCCCAAGTCAGGAATCTCCTGCATAAGAGGATGACACTTTTGCCTTCCACAGTTGTGTTTGATGAACTAAGCCCTCCATTTCTACAGCTTTTCTCCCAAGTACTGCATGTACTGACATTTCAGGCAAAACAAAACACTTTGTTTGACATAGCTCTTCTGAAAGTTGGGCTTTTGTTCTGGCGAGGAAAAAGACCTAAATTCAGTTGTATCTAAACAAGGCTTTTTTCCCCCCCTCTGAATTTTTATTTCTGCTATTGAAATTAAAAAAAAAAAAATCAATTATATGCACAGCCCAAGTTACGAAATGTAAACAACTTTTCTTTTCTTGCTGGAAGAGGCCAGACAGGCCGACTTCACACATACACCCACACTGGAAAGGCTGAGAGCTTCAATCTAATCCTTCCATCAAGGGCTTGTAATAAATGCTCCAAAGATTTATTTTTATTCCCTTTTGTGTTTATTAAACTTTGGAGGGTTTCTTTTCTTTCTGGTGCTTTGCCCATTCTTTATTACAGCAGCTACAAAACATGGAGTGCCCTTTTCTTCTCGCCCTCTTTTTTTTTTTTCCCTCCTCGTTTTTCTAACTGCAGTACATGAATGACCATGTAGTAGGCTTTGAAGCAGCACATGCAAATATTTATAAGAGTAGCTTGATTGTTATTAAATGCAGTTGTTATGCTTTCCACGCTCTGGCAAGCTTCCCTAACCCCTCTAACTA